TGGGTATATTCAAGGTGTTTTTCATATCTTCCAAGAAAATAACTTGTCTATTTTTGTTTTTCTTTTTATTTAGAAATATGTTGGTTTTGCCATAGGGCACATGCGATCACCAGAGAGAAAGAGGAAAAAGAGCGACAGAGAGAGAAAGTGAAAAATCGCCCCCCAGGGGCAATGACTACACGGTAATTCCTTCTCCTTGATTCTCCTCTCAAGATTTTGGACACACACACACGTGCCCAGTGTGTTTTCAAGCTGCTGGGTCAAACCGCACAGTAGGCCAGGTGGGATTCAATCACCCCAGCCACCACACCACTGGCTGGTCCTAAATTTATGTATTTAATTGAGGTTTCACTATGATGAATTACAAATCGCAAAATTGTTAGACCAATGTTATGTTATCTAATTACTGTTAGAAATACTGGCTTATAATAAGCTGCTGCAAAGCCAAAAATTACTATTATTGGCAGTTGTCTCCAACATGTATTTCTTAGAAAAAATGATTTTAAAATATAGGCTATATTCCTCATACTTTAAGCTTTTGCCTAAGTATTTCTGTTGTTTTTATGAATGGGACTTTTCAGTAATTAAAGTTAAAAGTTTGTTCTATCTGACGTGGAATGAAGTTATTGATATTTAAATATTTATTGAACATTCAGCACTTCATTGACTTTTATTCATTTGAATAGTTTTTAAGGCAAATATATTTAGATTTTAGCACTATGCGATCACCTAAGATTAGCAAATAATTATATATAGTTCATTTGTATATTTGTATATTTCATTCTAATAATGATTTTTACCACTTGTTTCTTGTGTTACTACACTGGAAAGACTTTAAAAACAATGCTGAGGGGCCAGCAGGTAGTGTAGTGGTTAAGGTGCTAGATTTGCACATGACTGACCATGGTTCAAGTCCCTAATCTGGAGGCTTAACATTCATGATGGGCACATGTGTGCCTATACCTACAATTACAGGAGTGGAATGGAGGAGAAAGGATATATGTATATGTGTGTGTGTGTGTGTAAATTTTTTTTTTAAGAGATAAGGTCTTGCTATGGTTTTCTAGGCTGGTCTTGAACTTGTGATTCTCCTGCTTCAGCCTCCTGAGTGGCTGGGACTACAGATACACATCATTGCGCCTGGCATCTGAGGTCATTTTTTGATCAATATAAGATGAGGCTTTGCATACTTCTCTGTATCTTGCTGTTTTACTCAGCAAAACCTCACGGAAGTCTCCCCAAGACAGCTGGAATTGTTCCAACGATTTCCTTTTAATGCTAATTCCATAGTGAGGATGAAGGCATACTATCTCCTAATTGTTTTATGTAAAGAAACAAAGCTTCTTGTGAACAGAGGTTTTGCATTATATGTCAGTTTTTCTGTACATAAAGTTACTAGACTGTTACTCTGCATATGCAGAGTTAGGAAATACTCCTTCAATTGAACAAATAGACTTGGAGACAACCACAGACTACCATCTCTGGGGGTCAGGTTTAGAGATTATTATTATTATCATATTGCCAGAAGGTATGTATGTTCATCAGAAAGAAAGAGAAAACCATCAGGGACAGACGGAAAAGGAACCCCCAATGTGGTCATGCCACGATCCCTTTTCCTCCATTTCTCCATCCCATGGGGATTTTTGGACATGCATGCACGTTCACCTGGTGTGTTTTACTTTCTTTCTTTTTTAAAAAATAATTATTTTATTTAACTTTATTTATTTATTTATTTTAATTTTATCAGAGAGAGACGGGGGGTGGGAGGGGAGGAGTGAGAAAGCAAGTCGCCAGGCCTGGGGAGGCCATGTGGGAGTCCAGCACCCTTAACTACCATGCCACCTGCCGGCCCCAACCTGTTATGTTTTTCAAGCTGCAAGGGCCAGGATTCAAACTGTGGTCAGGCATGTGGAATCTGGTTCCCTATGCACCATGCTTAACCACTGTGCTACAGAGACCACTCAGTCAGATATAATTTAAACATACAAGGACCTGAGACATCCAGGTGAGTCAAAGATGGCCAGGAGGGAAGGAAATATTTTGTTATAATATGATCAAAAGATGGAGTCAGATGTCTTATCAATCCCATTAAAATACTCAGCTCCAAGTTGGTTTCCAAAAATAGCTTTAATCAAATGGCTGAATTCTTACCCTTCACCTCGGGATGAGTGAGCTGAAGAGTGGGACTGTAGGAGGTAGAGGACTCTAGGAGGATCAGGGTAAACCACAGTGTGACTAACGGGGTCAGAGAGGAAAAGACACCAGGAGTGGTTTGGACAGGAAGCATGTTTTTAAATGCTCCAGACTAGTAATGATAAATATATAAATAAATGATTGCTGTGATTTTCAAGCTGCTAGAGCTGGGATTCAAACCACAGTTGGTGGTTTGTGGGACTCCAGAGCCTTAATCACTATGCCACCTGTTGGCCCACCCTTAAACTTTTTTTAAGAATTATTTAATTTTATTTATTGTTATTATTATTATTTTAATCTGCTGTAGGGCACATGTGCTCACCAGAGAGAGACAGGGAGACAGAGACAGAGAGAGAAAGTGCCAAAGTAAGCCACCAGGTCTGGGACTCGAACCGTAGTTGGCCACGTGGGAATCCAGCGCCTTACCTACCATGCCACCTGCTGGCCCCTTAAACTTTTTTAAATGACAGAGAAAACACTTTACATCATCTTAATCATGTATCAGAGTCCTGGAAGTATTCAAGGATCATGTTACTTTCTGCCATTCTTTGTTAGCACCAAAGTCAGCTATTTTCCAGACTGATGAGGGAAAAAATGTAGCCACACCTATGCTTGGATGCCCAAGCATCTTTTCCTCCAAATCTATTCACTGTGACTCAGCGCTGGTAGAGGTTTATATGAAGGCAATGGGGAATTCTTTTCTTTCCCCTCCAGGAACACAACAGAAACTGACAACAGCCAAATAACTTTAAATCTGTGAGTTCTGATCAGTTATGACTTGAAAGCTTGATTCTTTTATTATTTATCATTCATTAAATGCTCTGGCTCTCCTTTATTAAATGTTAAATCATCTTAAGTGGTATGGTTCTTGCTATCTAAAATGGCAAAGTGTAAGGGAAAAGAGAAAGTGGCCCATTTCCTTGTTAATGTGGCATTCAAATAAAAGATAGCAAACTCAACAGACAGGTCAACTGGCTGCTGATGGGGACTCTGTACAATTATTCATAACACAAGAGCCATAATTAGGGAGAAAATGTCTCCTTACAGCACCACTGAAATTGCAAGGCAGGAATTCATTTTCTCATAGGGCCTGGTTGGTGTATGCATCAGAAAACACTTGAACATGCTCGTGGCTTCCTTCCTCTCATCCAATGACAAGATGAAGGGTTGCCAGGGGTGGTGTTGCCATGGCAAGACCTCCCCCTACCTCCCCCAGCTTCCAAGGGACTCCACCTGCAATGTTCACTACCCACTTTGATTTGCTCTTCATCTCTACCAATGTCACTGGAAGCCATGTTCACAGGATAGCTGTGAGAAGCCTGAATACATTAGGATAAGGAAAACAAAACAAAATTCTATTATCAAGTCACACTTATGGAATCTTGTTGACCAGGAGTCTGAACTTCCTTTTCCATATATATATATATTTAAGTTTATTTCCTTTGAGAGAGAGACAGAAAGACAAGTATCCTCAACAGGTCCCTTTCTGTGATCCCCTCCACATCTTTCCCAGACAGTCAACATCGTGGGTGCGGGTGTACACATGCCTGGTGTGTACACACGGAACAGGAAAATGAATCTGTGGTCTTCTGCATGGATCTAGATCTGTTTGAGCAATATACTACCACCATGCCACCAACCTGGTTCTTTTTTCTCTATTTTAAAAATCAATATATAGGGACCAGTAGATGGCATAATGGTTATGTCACTGGACTCCCATGTAGTTGACCGCATCCAAGAGCAGTCTTGGACTCTTGGAGTATATTTTTCGAGTCCAAGACCTGGAGGCTTCAAACACATGCTGGGAACGTGAGTGTGCATGCCTAAGATACTGAGAAGAGAATGGAGGAGAGGGTGTATACACACACATGTGTATGTATATATATTGCTAGAGGTTGCATTTGGTCACTGGTGTTGGGATGAAGAGAGAAAGCACCCTCCAATGATGCATGTTAATGGCACAATGCCTTTTCCTCCACTTATCTAGTCTATCAGGATTTTAAACATGCATCTATATATGCCTTGTATGTTCTTCAAGCCACCAAGGCCAAGAATTGAACTGCAGTTGGCTATGTGGGATCCAGCTCCCTACACACACCACACTATGGGGCTGGCCTTTGATAGGTATTTCTACTACACTAAAATTCCATGTTTCTTTTGTCCTTTTTCTTCTTTCGTCTTTCTTTCTTTTTCTCTTCCTTCTTTCTTTCTCTTCTTCTTTCTTTCTTCTTTCTTTCTTTCTTTCTTCTTTCTTTCTTTTCTTCTCTTCTTTTTTTCTTTGCCACAGGGCACATGCAGGAGCCATAGAGAGAAAAATACAAAGAGAGAGGGAGAGGGAGACAGCACCCAGCAATGGAATGTGGTCATGCCACAATCCCTTCTTCTCCATTTATACACCCCATTGGGTTTGAGGTACACACGCACACATGCCTGGCATGGTTTTCAAGCTACTGAGTCCAGGATTCAAACCACATGCCACATGGGATCTGGTCCCCTTAACCATTAGGCCTTGGTGCCGACCCCATCTTTTTTTTTTAATTCAACTACTGAGGGTCATCTTTGGCTCCACAAAATAACAGACTCCATGAGGACAAGTTCATAATGTGACTTGGTGACTCGTATGTTCCCAGCTCCTCAAGTGGATGACATCTGGTAAGTACTCAGTATCTTCTGACTAAATGTACAGGCTCCTCCAACTACACTTTTTAATTGCTAGTAGATATTTTACACGCAAAGGGAAGTTAATATCAGTTGTGCCAAATGAGACAATACAATAGACATTAACACATTAAAATCTTTCCTCCTACCTTATCTTTGCTGGTTCGAATGATCTGAATTTTAGGGCACTTTTTGGCTCCAGATGAAATATCCAGCCAGTTTTCTATGTTCTTTGGATGTTCACAATCTCCTTGAAAAGTGCACCTAAAAAAAAAGCAATCCCACATATGCATTAGTTAAAACTTTCTCATACTTGGCTTCAGTACAAAATGCCAGGCTTTGTACAGTGGCTTATTGATTTTGAGCAAGAATAGGAACATGATGCTAAAACCATGAAAAGCAAGAAGAAAACAGGAAAGCATTTTTTCCATCATGTCTAAGAGCAGAGAACAAATGTAGACAACATGTTGAACTTAGACCCCTGAGCCGTCTTTCAAATTGACATCACCAAATACATCTAAAACATCCTCTCATGGATTCAAGACAAAGAATTCCCTTCTAGAAATACCTAGCAAAGAACAACCCAAGAGTTTACATACTATAAGAATTTTAGGGTTGCAATGAATTTCCAGAAGTTATCTCTTATGTAACTTGTTTTTTGTTAAAAAAAAAAAAAAAACCTTTGTGCTTTGCAATATGATAATGAAATAAAAATATTTCAAGGGCAGAGAATTTGATAAGACATTCCATGACCATCTGCTACATAACATTTATTTAAACGGATACCAAATTATATCAAAAGATATGGGTGAAACATTTTCCAGGGCCACTTTTCCAAGTCAGCCAGCTCAAAATTCAAATAAAACTTACATGGTAGCCAGGGCCAACTAGTCTGACAGACAGAAAGTCAGAAGCTGAGTGGTGACATCACTGGCTTGCTTGGTGTGTCAGTCACTCCAGGTTACACTAGCTTGGGAACCCTCATCTCATCAAACGGTTCACTAAGCCACCAGGAAGCATGAACACCAAGTACCATGTTGTCTTCAAATGGTGTTGGACTGGCTAGACATTCCACTGCATAGTATCAAGGAAAGAGCAAAATAGTGCTGCTAGCTATCCCTCCTCCAGGCCCAAGGTTAAAATAAAGGAGTAGTGAGCAGTTACGTTTTAAAGGAAACTGAAAATGCATGAATCATGCAACTAAAAAGCAGCCAACAGTTGACCACGTTCAGCTGTGGTGAGTCCCTCAGGGGAACAACTGGGATGAGGTACAGATGGCCCCCGAATAGAGTATTTTGATTTCACAAAGGTTTTATTTCTTCTTCCTCTTCTCTCTCTCCCTCTCTCTGTTTTAATTCTGAAGAACTGAGGCCTCATGCTTCATGTTTGAGCTCTGTGCTAATTTGAATATGACAAAAATAGAACAGGAAGTCGGTGAGTTTCACTAAACATTATCTCCAAATACACCACCATCAAAGTGTCATCCTCTTCTGACATTTGGGGGAACCCTGCTCACCGCGAGCCCATCTGTGTGCCAACTTCCCCTACATCTGGGTCAATTCCTTCTCCGCCATCATAACCAGGGGACAATTTCATCGGCAATTCTCCAAAGTCATAAATTTAGCTGACCCTTGATGACTAGCTCGTCCGTCACGGATATTAAGCTCAAATTAACCCGCCGCTCAATGTCAGGGAGAGTTTGCAATGGAGGGACAAGCGTTGCTGGATTGAAAAACAGAGCATGCCCAAGCCCATTCCTTATTTTGTATCTGAAAGAAATCGTGACTGTCAAAAACTCCTTGCCTCTCACAGGCACTTTAGTTTGTATTAGGCACTTCCTCTGCTTATAAGAAAAAAAAAAAAAATTAAGCCAATTCTAGAGAGATTGAAGTACAAATATTTTTGCAGGCTCTTAATGCTGCCTGGGAGTCAGGGCCTAAGGCTGCCAAAAAAACAAGTGTAAAATATTTCATACAAATACTGCTGCGATTCGCCAATCTGTAGGCAGAGGACAGGCGTGCCACTGAGTTTTCTGAACTCCTATAGCATTTCTTGTCAGAACCACACATTTCCGTATTTAATCATATGCTGTCTTGAATTACAACTTAACTGTTTCATATGTCTATGTCATTTCTCCCCAAGTAAGCCCTAAGCTCCTCAAAGGAAGGGAGAACATCTTTAATATTTCTCTAGCAAATCCCTCAGTGTTTGGCAGCAAGATATGCAAATAGTACAGTTTCAATAAATATTTTTGAATGAATGGATGAAATATGAAATCTCAATAGGTCCTCTCTGTCGGTGATTTTTCTTTTTAGAGCTTTGATTTACCTCGGAGTCTTCCTTCCAGAAGAGACTATTTTATTCAATTAAGAACATTTGTTTAAAGTTTCTTTTTCTCTTTCTTTCATGAGTAAGAGAGACAGAGGGGCACTTTGAACAGGGTGCTGACTCCATGATCCGCCCCTAGCCTCAGCCAGCCCCGGATTATCGGCCTGCACCAACCAGACATACTCAAGGAGGTCTCCAGACACGAACCCAGTCCAGACACGAACCCAGGACTTTTCCATGTGGGTTAGCCTGGTCAAGCATCATGTTTTACCACTGTACCATCGTCCAGTCCCCTAAAGAGACTATATTTAATGTAAGCTAAATGTTCAATCTGGGGATCAAATTGGGTGCTCAGGTTTTCAGTTTATTTTTTGAAAAATTAAAAAAAGAAAATGTACAATAAACTTCCCATTTCCTACTCTGCATAAGGTAAAAACAAAATCTAACCATGTTCTAAACATCAGTTTCTTGTTTATTTAAAAAGGAAAAACTCTGAAATTTCCAAACTCCAATTCTTTGCCTCTCACCAGTTACAAGAAAAATAAAAATAAAAAGCAAACCATGACACTAAGAATGTAGAACCAGATGGTCAACCAACGACAGTATTTTATTACTTCTTAAATATTGCAGATTATAAAACCCTTGTGACTGCACACTATCCACACGTTTAATTTCGTAAGTGGGGAGAACAGATCTTACAGCTCCCAAATTTTAGTAAACAAGACCAGTTACTCTGAAATAATTCCATTTTTTTTTGAGAATTTTTTGCTATAGGGCACGTGCACTTGCCAGACAGACGGAGAGAGACAGAGAGATAGAAAGCGAGAAATTACCCCCCAGAGGGGATGGCCATGCCGCAATCCCTTCTCCTCCATTCTCCTCTAGGGATCTTGGGCATGCATGCACATGCGCCCAGCGTGAGTTTAAGCCACCGGGTCCGGGACTTGAACCGCGGTCGACTATGTGGGAGTCCAGTGACATAGCCATTACGCTAACTGCTGGTCCTACGCTGAAATAATTCCTTCTGAAAATTATCACTCTTCTTTCTATCTATCAATAAGAGCAATGGTCAGATGAAGAAACAAAACGCCACTGACCAAATAAAAGCAAAATCTCATTGTCAGCCACATCCCTCAGTAAGGCTGATCCCTCACTGAGGCACTCTCAGATAGGCTGACTCCTTTCTTTTTCTTTTTTCTTTTTTTTAAAGAGGTTTTTGCCCTAGATCATGTGAGCTCGATCAAGACAGAGAGAGACAGCGACAGTAAGAGGAAAAATGAGAAATCACCCCATGGGGGGATAGCCATGCCACAATCCCTCCTCCTCCATTCTCCTCCCAGGATCTTAGTCACACATGCACACATGTCCGACGTGAGTTTCACCCACCAGGTCTGGGACTCGAACCATCGTCAGTTATGTGGGAGTTCAGCAACGTAACCGCTATGCCATCTGCTGGCTAGATTGATTTCTTAACTGGCTTCATTTCAATGGTTCAGGCCATGGATAGGAATAAAATTGGATTCAGCTTAGACGGGGTACATTCTGGAGAAAATGCTTTCTTTACCTGTGTTATTGCTTTTGGCCTATCCTCCACTGAGGATCTATCCTGAAGTCCTAAGACTCCTGATCGGTATTTTATTTTTCTAGTCCTTATTTCCACTTAGAGCTCAAGCCTGCATGATCAAGTCAATAAGCAGACATAGCTTACTTGCAAATGAGGAAATAGAGCCTGCCTAAGTGTAAAGAAAAGATTACTTTAAGACAACCCCTTCAAAACTAAAACTTTCAAAATAAAAACTTTCCTTAGGTGAAAAATTACAGAAACAATTAAGTGAATGAAATTATTTAAGAAACTTTGTTTTTACTAGTTTGCCCAAAAATCTGCTGGAGAACTAAATTTATTTCAAATAATAATAGAGCTAATGTTGCCATCCAAAGTTATAAGTATGTGATTTCTCCTCCCTCACCCTCAACTCATAATAAAGGATGTTCCAAACCTACCCAGACCTCAAGTCATGAGCAGGGATGATGTCAACACTTGTTTTTTAAGTTTGTTATTTGAAATTCAGAAAGGATACTGCAGGTTTGCTTCCTGAATTTGTGGAAATGTGGGTAGCCCATAAAATCCCTAAATACCAACCTTACCATAACCCTGACATGTAGGGAACATTCCTCTGTGCCAGACACTGTTTTTACAGTTAGTTCTGACAATACCTTCATTCTATGGGATAGGAAACAGGCTCAGAAGGACAGCAACATGTCAAGGTCACACAGCTGCCAAGTGGCAGAATTCTGACTTCAGAGTCGCACACTTGGCCACTAGGCCTGCTATCTTCCTCCAGGCCCTCACCACATTTAATAATGTACATATAAAGACATGCAGTTACTCCTGGCTTCCTGGGGCCTCAACAGTGATTGCAGAAAAAGGAGACAAAGATGGGGAGCCCCAGGAACAGAGAACAAAGAAAGTGGGGTAGTTCTTCAGGATGTAGAGAGTAACAAGGATTTGGGATGGATCTACAGAGGTGGATATTCTGAGAGGTCTCTAATTTCCACTGAACACTAACCCTGAATATGAAATATCCAGCTAGAGGTTAAAATTCTAGGTGGCCCCAGGTTTATTGGACTATTATGCTTGAAAAAAACCTGGTTTGCAAACCATCTATTTATAATACGGAATCAATTTTTCCCCATAGAAATAATGTTAGAAACAGTGCTTAGGTTTCCAGAATGGCCTACGAAACCTATTTGTCCATAATGTACCTTCAATACTATATATTTGCACTAAAAGAGTAGCAGAAAACAATGAGATTGCAGCCATTTGCATTATATAGTGGTTTTTCTTCTTTACTTATTTGTGTTTCTGCTCAGCTGGTAGTCTGGGAACACTGCCCAGTTGGATCGACTTTTAAATTTATTATTACGGTATTATATTT